GGGTTTAGTGTTTAGGGTTTAGGGTTTTAGGGTTTTTAGGGTTTGGGGTTTGGGGTTTAGGGTTTTAGGGTTTTTAGGGTTTGGGGTTACCTTCATGAAACCATCAGAAGACTCATGGCAAACCCTGCCTGGAAAAGCCTTTGAAACCCTATACAAATCCTCAAGGGTCCAAGTACCTAATAATCATATACTCTCCCAAATCCTAACCTACATAACTACTATCCTAAAACCGAGTACCTTATTATTGGGTCCTTTGGACCCTTGGGGAATCCTCGACAAGACCTCGGTCCCATGATCCTCCAAGCTTCCAAGTACCCCGAACCCTAAACTCTAAACCCTCAAAGCCTAAGCCCTGAGCCTTAAAACCAGAGCACTATATCCTATATAAGGGGTCATAGCCCTCCTATTTTGTAAGGCTTTGGGGACAGGTACTCCCCTTGAGCCCTTGCTTGGAGGGTCGGGGGACTTAGTAAGTAGGTAGTAAGTAGACTTATGAGTACCCTAAAAGGGACCCTAATTGGGGTTATGGTACTTATAAGTCCCCCAAAATAACCAGCTACTAAGTCCCCCGACCCTCCAAGTGAGGAAGACCGTCGAGTGCTCGGCGGATCGTGCTCGGGACCGCGTGAATCAGGAGAAGATGCGCCGCTTGGTTTTTATTCAGGAGCCAAAGAAGCACCCAAACATGAACTTTCGGGTGGGATATCCCTACTTGGCTTAATTAAAGAGGGGATTCTGTGATATCCCAGCCTTATGGTTTTTGTTTAGGTCCTTTTCTGGGTCCCTATTTATGGGTTTTCAGGGCCAATTGTCAGGTTTACCCAAAAGCCCCAAAGTAGTTCCGTTTTGGGGTTCATATATAGAATCCTATAGGGTAATCCCAAAAAGGAACTACTTTGGGGCCTCTGGGTAGACCCTAAACCCTAAGAGTTCTAGAACTTCGAGTTGAGGGTTCAGCCCTAAACCCGCAACGGTCAGGGCCGTTTAGGGTTTGGGTTTTAGGGCTTTTGGGTTTTACGGTTCTGGGTTTGGGGGTTAGGGGGTCAGGGCTGGAAGGTTCGATTCGGGTTCTACGGTTAAGGTTTAGGGGTTCAGGGTTTAGGGTCTAGGGTTACGGTTGTTTTATGGTTCTGGTTTGAGGGCTTGTGGTTTTCATTCGCATGTGTGCTTTACAAGTGTTTCGTTCATCTGGCTTTTATAGGGTTTTGGCTGGAGGGCTTAGGCGCTTGCATTTTTAGAACGATTCTAGAATTCCAGATACACTGTTTTTTGTAACGATTCTAGAAATCCAGGTACGTTGCTTCGTAGGGGTTTGCCGTAAGCTTTTAGAAGTTTGCCACATATGAACCGAATAGAAAACAGTACGCTAGTAAGCAACAGAGAACATGCTGCACAATAGCATGTAGTTCACATGTATATGAGCCATGCTCGGCTTTTGTAATAGTCCAGCTCGGCGGAAGCCACGCTATTTGGGAGTTTCCGGAAATAGGGGACCCTAATATAGTACACTAAACAGTAGGATCCTTACTATAAGGACCGCAAAATAAGGTATCCCTAATTCTCGGAAACTCCCATTTAGGACCCTTTGGGTAGGAGGTAGTAGGAATGACGAACCCTAAATGTTTAAGATTTACTAGCTCTCAGCCATGGGTTGAGGGGGGGTTCTAAGGATTCTCTATCTGAAAGGGTTCTGTAGGAGCCTTTGTTTCGTTTTTCAAGATTTCTGTAAAGGTTTTCGGTGCGACACTATACAAGGGTGTCGATCAGTAATAGACGTTGTAGGTGCTTTGTGGAGGGTGTTGGGCTGATTTCAGTTTGGTTAGGGCTCAGCCAGTTTTGTTCAGCATGTGTTGCGATCTCTCTCTCTCTCTCTCTCTCTATCTCTATCTCTCTCTCTCTCTCTCTCTCTCTCTCTCTCAGGTTTCGATTTTCCATGCTAGCATGCTTCCACTTCAGGTTCAGTTTCCATATTAGGTGCCGAACGAGGGTTCGCAGTTTGTGTTGTGGTTCAGTTTCGTTGTCTAGTCTGCCGTGTCCCAGCTTCAGGGTCTTAGCATTCAGGGTTAGGGTTTAGGGCTTAGAGTTTAGGGGCAGTTGCTTGCCGATTTTTGCATTAGGGTGTAGGGCCAAGTTGAACAAGTATAAATCCATCTGCACCTTCACCTAAAGAGTAAGTCGTTCGATAGCGTCGCCCGGCCAAACGGAAGTAAGAATTAGGGTTAATGTGGTCATCCGGGAGTTTCCGAAAACAGGGGACCCTAACATAGTACCCTAACTAGTAGGATCCTTATTATAAGGACCCCGAAATGAGCAAAATGAGGTACCTCATAGTTTTCGGAAGCTCACATACTGTTGTTGATTTATTCCTGCATTACCCAAAGTAAGGAATATACCAGAGTTCCCATAGTTTAGGGCCTCGAGGCAATGCAGGATTTCTACTATCAACCGTATGTTATGTGCCATGACATTCGTGTAGCCAGGTAGGAGTCGCTCGGAGTCCAAACCGTACCTGTGGATCCGAAAACCTACCGTTTTAAGGGGTCTACCCTCTAATTCAGGGGTCATCACCTACTATTTTGTAGGGTTTGGGGTCACCGGTAGGGCTCCAAGTATGCAAACAGTACCTACTTTGGGGCCTACAGTCTTTAAGGCGTACCTATGTTGGGCGATTTGGAGCGCCAGCAAAACCCTAAACCCTCAACTAGATAAGCACATGGACCCTGAGGGAAAGTATATACTAGATAGCACACCCAACCATCACCGCCCAAGTACCCCTGAATAGAGCCCTTATGGTCCTTAATAGCGGGTATACGGTACAATAGAGGGTGGTTGGGGGGGTGCTGGAAAACCCTGAAGCCTTAAGCCTTAACCGCAGACGTGAGCAGGGGTGCCAGCACCGTCCTCCCAAGGCGAAATACAAGCCCGTGGAGGTCTTGGCTGAGCCAGCCTATACTCTTTAGCCTATAGCAAACCCTACAAACCCAAAGGCTCCATGTACCCTCATAGTAGATACTTTGGCCTTAAATGGCTTGTATATAGGTACTTTAAGGCCTAAGTATATACTATATGGGTACATGGAGCCTTAGGGAAAGTTGGAAACCGGATGAAGGCCAAGTAGTACTGGGCTTCCCTTTACATGACTCTTAAGGATCGAAGCGATTGGGTTTGCAACTTTGGGCTTCTACTGTAAACCCTTAAACCCCTAAACCCTTATGCCGGACGGCTCCGACGCGGCGCGGTCAAAAGTTGCAGAGCTTACCACGTATTCCCAAACCCTACATTCTGTAGGGTACCCTGGGTTTGAAGTGCCATACTTGAATACTTTTTTTTCGCACCTGTTCCTTAAAGGAAGCATTATGAAATAATGGCCTATACTTTTTTCTCCCTGGTTACTTCAAAGCCTAGGTACGAGATTACGACGCCTTCATTGTTAGTTATATATGGGAGCCTCCGAAAATTAGGGGTCTCTTAGGGTTCCTTTATAGGGATCCTTTAAGGGTTCCTATATGGGATCTACAGGGTTCAGGGTTTAGGGAGTTTCCGAAAATTAGGGGTACCTTATTTGGGGGTCCCTTTAATAAGGATCCTCTTATTTAGGGTACTCTTTTAGGGTCCCCTATTTTCGGAAACTCCCGTATATGGTCTGAGTTTAAACCCCAAAACAGCAGGGTTTTGGATCCCCAGGTAGGGTTGCAGGGTTTACCTGTACCACGTCCAGAGTGCATAATACTGTGTCCCGAAAGTCAATGTATGGAAACCTCTTCTAAGCATTAAGGCCACTACCCTACGACTCAAAATAGCCCAAAGTGTCCTATATAGCATGGTCTCTGGGCCCCAAAGCCATATAACATGAGTCCTTAGGGTTAAAGCGTACATACGTATTGAGAGTTTGGGATAGTTGATGGTAGTTATGCAGGGCTTTGGGTTTCATCTCGGGTCTTTGCGGAGATGTTGCCTGTTTCGACCTATACCATTCAAGTGTTACTTTAGGTTGCTGGTAGGTTTCTTTAACGGGACTCCACCACCCTTACTTTACGGGTTCCTGTAAGATTTATGTTTCTTTAAGGGGTACTTGAACGGTTGATGATATAAATCCTGCATTACCTTAAGGACCCTAAACTATGGGAAGTATGGTACATTCCTTATTATGGGTAATGCAGGATTTATATCATCAACCGAAGGACTCTGAGGGTCACTGTAAGCGTTACTTTATCGTCGGCCTGCCCTCTGCCAGCATGGGTAGTACTATGAGGGGGACCCCTTAAAGGGTACCCCTTCTGAACCCTACTTCTGGATCTCTTAAAAGGGGCCTTATTGAGACGGTCTATATCCCCAAGGGTCCCCCTAATCTTAACTCCCACAGCAATTGGCAAGCCCAAAATCTTAAACCCTCAGCCCTACAACATAGTAGGTAATGATCCCTTAATTATAGGCTCTAACCCCTCAAAACGGTAGGTTTTGGGATCCCCAGGAAAGTCCTACGCCTTCACTGTAAACCCTGAATTCGATCTATCTCTTCTGTCTATTTCCATTTCTATAAACCCTACCTGGGCCCTGAGAAACCTACCCTTTTAGGGTTCCTAAATATGATCTCCTTGTGCAAGTCCTTAAAAGGGTAGGTTATATGGAGCTAAGGTACACCCTAAACCCTAAACCTTCGGCCATGCTTTACAGACGCAGCTAGGGTTACGTGAGAAGGGAAATGAAGAGAGACTTTTGTCATGAAGACAATGAAAGAGACGTAGTGTAATGAAGTGTGGCTGACCCTAAGGGTCCATGTGCCCAAATAGTATATATTTTGGCCCCCGAAGTACCTATATAGGGACTACCTTAAGGTCAAAGTATATACTATTGGGGTACATGGACCTTTACAGTAAAAGCCAGAAAGTTGGAATATCATTATCCTAAACCCTTTTTGGTAAATTATAAGTTATAAGGTATCCTACCCTGAAACCATATTCCAACTTTCTGGAATTCCCTTTAGGGTGAACAAGCCGCAGGACCAAATCAAGTCTGCGCGGGAGCGGGAAGGCGGCAAGGGGTGCCCTCCTGGGTTCCCGAAGGGTCCTATGTACTGTTATGGGGAATACTTCCCTAAGTCATAATAGTAATTCCTAACATGGAAACCCGACATTCTACTATATCGGTACATAGGACCCTTTGGGGTTGAGGTGTCCGGGTTCCTTTCAGGCGTCTGTAGGGGTCCCTTAAGGGTTCCTTTGAAGGGTCTATAGGGGTCCCTTAAAGGGTCTATAAGATCCCTTTAAGCAATCTACAACAATTCCACAAAGGGTTCCTTCAAGGGGTCTATAGTCTATAGGGCTCAACAACCAGGTACTCGGGTCTTGGACAGTCGATACGTAGGTAAGTATTCGGGAGAGTATTTGATACGTCGGTACTTGGACCAATCTTGTCTTAAAGTCAGATCTGTTTACCCCACTTGGAGGTTCATGCGACTTAGTAACTCAGGTTGTAAATAAGGTAACTAAACTCATAGTTATTTGCAACCTTATGACACTTGGCATCTAGACGGGGAGGTTTAGGCCAGTTTAGGGTTTAGTTAGAGGATCATTGGACTTAGTAACTAGCGCTATAAATAGGGTAACCATACTTATAATTACTTAAAACCCATGAAGGGACTTATGAACTTAGTTAGTAAGTCCCATGATCCTCCAAATAGGGTTCAGCGCGCACGCCTGGAACACTACAGACTCAAGCACTAGGGCCATACCCAGAGAACGACTTTGGCGGCTATATTTTCCAGGGGCTCTTGATTTCATTGATTGCGCCGCCCTGGCATCCCTTGATGGCAGAAGCCCTGATGGAAGCAAGCTTTGCGGGCCCGCAAGTCTGCAAGTTCCTCTTTAGCCTACTGCGTGCAGAGTGCGAACGCGACCACACCCCGGGCTGGCACGAGTCGCAGCAGTTCTGGCACATCCTGCTCGTGATGGAGGACAGAACCCGCCAGACCACACGGAGCACTGACATAAAGAAACCAGGCACGAAATACTGAAGCACTACAGGGTTCCTATATAGGTACTTTAAGTCCCAAGTATATGCTGCAGCCTTACAGGGTTCCTATATATAGTACTTTCAGTCTAAGTATATACTACATAGGTACATGGAGCAATGGGGGTACACTCCGAAGCCCAGAAGGTCTGTTGCGCACATCTTGTGCCCCTACACGCTTAAGCACTAAACCCTAAACGTACTTGGGTCATGGGGCTCAGTAAGTACGGTTATAAGTACCTCAAGTAGGGTTACAAGTACGTATAAGTATGGTTACCTTATTTTGTTTTTGACCCCTAGTTGCGAAGTCCCGTGTACCCTACCAGCACCCCCCCCCAGTACCCTGTAATAGAGGTACCCAGGATATATACCAGAGGGTAGTTGGCGGGTGCTGGTAAACCTTTGTATAAACCCTAAACCCCCTCTAGAAACCCAAGACCCGAAACCCTACTTGGAGGTTAACGGGACTTGGTAAGTACAGTTATAAGTACCTTAACCGGGGCTATAACCAATTATAACTGTGGCTACCTCATTTATAACCATAGTTACTAAGTCCCATGAACCTCTAAGTAGAACCCCAGACCCTCCGAAACCCTACACCCGACACCACCGCGCCAGGGCGCCCCTTGCGTGCTCTCCCGGCGCCCACCACTCCTTGCCAACTCCGTGCGGCTGCAGCAGTGGAGGATTTGGGTTTCGATTTAAAGTTTAACCCAGAGACGCCAATATCCTTTAATTAAGGAATCATAGTAGGATCCGTAATATGCTTTAAGGTATGTTCCTTAATTAAGGGGTATTGGAGTCTCTGGGAAAGTTTAGGGCCAGTTTAGGGTTTAGGGTGCGAGGTTCCGAGTTTAGTGTTTTAGGGTTCGGGGTATAGGATTGAGAGAACAGTCCCCTAAGCATGCGACGCTTTCGGGTTTTGTTGGGTTTTAGGGTTATCCTGTTATCCCAGAAAGTTGGGACATGGTTTGAGGATGAATGTAGTGCTGGGATGCCCTTATACTTTGCCTTAAGGGCATGAGGATAATCATGTTCCAACTCTCTTGCTTCTACTTTAAAGGTCTGGGTGTCCTCTAAACTTTGGGATGCTTGGGCAATGGCTTAGAGCCTCAGGAGTTTAAAGGATCCCTTGCAGAACCCGTTAAAGGAACCCTTAAATGACCCCTTAATGGCCCCTGGGCTTCTGTAAGATCTCGGGCTTTTGAGCGATCTGTTAACGGCCTCACAGATCCCTGCGACAGACTGCCTAGCGTTTTAGGTTTAGGGTATTGATCCATTTGGGCGGTTGTCAAAATTATGGTCCCTTTTCGGGTCCTTAATTAACATAATACGGCACCTAACATTTAGGGTACCCAAAAAGGGACCCTAATTTTGACAGCCACCCAGTTAAGGGTTCAGGGCCTAAGCACTGAGCCCCTTGCTGGGTCCCTGCCAGGAGTTTGACAAAGCGCTGCGCCCAACTGGTGGATCGACTTCCGTGCACTGAAAACTGTCCGCGCTTCGCTGGCCTTCGCCCGCAGTCGCCGTCGTGGTAGTGGACTAGTGACTAGTAGTGCAAGTAGTGGTGGAAGTGCAAGAATTGCATTGTGGTAAAGGTGCGGCTGTAGTAGCATGAATTGCAAGTAGTAAAAGTAGTATAAGCCGTAGTTATCAGTAGGATAAGAAGTAGTAGTAGTCGTCGTGGTGGTGGTGGTGGTAGTGGTACTGGTAGTGGTACTGGTAGTGGTACTGGTAGTGGTAGTGGTAGTTGTAATAGTAGCAGCAGCAGTAGCAGCAGCAGCAGCAGCAGCAGTAGTAGTAGTAGTAGTAGTAGTCGTCGTCGTAGTCGTAGTCGTAGTCGTAGTCGTAGTCGTAGTAGTAGTAGTAGTAGTAGTAGTAGTAGTAGTAGTAGTAGTAGCAGTAGCAGTAGCAGTAGCAGTAGCAGTAGTAGCAGTAGTAGCAGTAGTAGTAGTAGTAGTAGTAGTAGTAGTAGTAGTAGTAGTAGTAGTAGTAGGCACCCCCCCTACCAACTACACTTGCTCTCAACCATGTTAGGACAACATCCATTTTACTCGGTATTTACGGCACTTTCGTCATGTGCGATCATCCTAAGAGGCCCAAAATCGACTTGTCGAGTTTGCAAACTCGGGCTCTTGATTTTGGACTTGCTTCTGGGGGTGGGTGGGCGGGTGGGGTGGGGGGATGATGATGACAGTGTTGCGCGAACACACCCAGCAGTATCACCACAAGAGCCGTTTAACTCGGTATTTACGGTACTTTCATGAAGTCAGACTTTGTTACATATTCTGAACCCCTACTTCTCGACTATGCGTATTAAACTTTGCTCTTTGGAACTGTTTGCAAAAAAAATCGAAATTGGTTGGGGGAAAGCTTCTTCGGGGATGATCACGACACTGTTTTGCGGACACCCTGAACAATATTTCCACACTCAAGCGCGCACACACCACACACACACACACACACACACACACACACACACACTTCAAAAACAGACCCTCCTACGCAGAGGTTGGGCGGTAGGGGTGTTGGCGAGCCCCTCCCACGTACAGCTGGCATCTTTGTTTTTGATGTTCAGAAGATGTTGTGCTTCAGGTTTTAGAAACGATAAACCCTTGTTGGCAGCACCTGGGTTTTGCACGGTATTTACAGCGTTTTCGTACTATCCGACCACCTGGGGTTTATCAGTTTCTTCCCCGTCGAGCTTGCAACTCCAGCTCAGCAGCTGTGGCAGTTTTGGAGCCTGAGCCCCTGCAACTTCACCGGCTGTGACAGTTAAGGAAACTGAGCCTCTGCAACTTCTGCAGCTGTCACAGATAAGGAGCCTGAGCCCGTGCATCTTCTGCAACTATCGCAGTTAAGGCACCTAGCAGCTACCGCTGCCCAGCCCGGATGGAACAAGTGTAGTTGGGAGGGGGGGGGTGGCTAGTAGTAGTAGTGATAGTAGTAGTAGTAGTAGTAGTTGTTGTAGTAGTAGTAGTGGTAGTAGTAGTAGTGGTCGTCGTCGTAGTAGTAGTGGTAGTGGTAGTGGTAGTGGTAGTGGTAGTAGCAGTAGCAGTAGCAGTAGCAGTAGCAGTAGCAGTAGCAGTAGCAGTAGGAGTAGGAGTAGTAGGAGTAGTAGGAGTAGTAGGAGTAGTAGGAGTAGTAGTAGTAGTAGTAGTAGTAGTAGTAGTAGTAGTAGGTTAGTAGTAGCAGTAGCACCAGCACCAGCACGAGTCGTCGTCGTAGTAGTAGTAACTAGTAGTAGTCTGATTTGTCAACCTTTATGCTTTCTTCGTGTACACTCAGCCCTGACTGAACAGATCCTGTAATCAGCCCGCATGAAGCTTGTTTGTTCTTTCATCCTTCATACAGGTATATATGTACACATACTCATATACCTTTGCGAAAAGCATTATGTTTTTACAACCTGTATAAAACACTTATAAATCTGCAAAACCATTGAAGGTCTCTGTTTAACGACAGCAGAGCCATGCAGAAGCCAGGCACCTCGGCGTTGGGCGGGTCCACAGTTGCGGGTGGTGGTGCTGACCAAGGCCTGGACAACGGTCAAACAATAAGCCGCATTACCTGCAGGCTCCTACCCTACACCTCTTTGGGGTATCTACTTGTCTATACAAAAGATGCTAACCAGAAAACAGGTATCCTAAAGAAGGGGTAGGTTATGCGACTCGGTAGGTAGTGTATCGACTTGCTGTTGGGACTCTATAAAAGGCTTGCATGATGAGTTGTATGCTTCCTTAGGGTGATCTCATACGTCTTTAGTAATACTAGAACCCCTCAAAACCCCTGGGGCCTCGGGCCTAGGCCATAAAGGGGCGCCAAAATACGTGCTTTAGTGGCTACGTGTATACTCTACAGTCTACAGCTACATGGAGCCTTAGGGACCTTAGTCTGTGCAGGCAACAATATTTGGTGTTCAGGTTTGATGTTCGAGCTCCAAGTTTTTGAAGGTAATATGAGGGCTTTAAGGGTTCAGGGTTTAGGGTTTGTGGGTACAGGACAGGGACTTACCCAGGACACCACGACCAATGATTCCGACCTCTATATTATGCGGATTCAGGAGTCTGGGGTTTATCGGCGTTCAACCCGGAGACAGTCGCAGCCCTTCATGCAGCCATACTCGCTTTACAATCTAAGGTTCCTAAACCTTATAAAAATAAACCTGGAAAACCCCTACAACCGCAAAAGTGGCAGTGAATTCAGGGGTTTCGGGGTCTCTGGTCTCCTGTTCAGAAATGCGGGAGGGTACGATTGAAGGCCTTGCAGGGGTGTTTACATCTCGGATTTTAGGGTTTAGGGCTTGGTGTCCATAGGGTTTAGGATTTAAGGCTTAGAGAATGAGAAGTGAGCCGTAATCCCGAGCTATATCTCGGGTCACGAGCGGCCTCATCTGCGGGCAGTAAGCTCCAAAACCCTAAATCCAAAACCCTAAACCCTACACCCTAAAACCCTAAACCCTAAACCCTACACCCTAAAACCCTAAACCCTAAACCGTCTTTGAGATGCAAGGACGCATGGTTGCACTGCTTCCACCTCGAGGCAGGATGAAAGGTGTACTAATGTGTTTGATTGGAGTTATAGTATCTAGGATGCCCAGTAGTACCCTTATTCCCTTTTTGTAGTCCTAGGTTCCTTATAAAGTTACCCAACACCAAAAAGAGAGGCCTTTTTATTCTTAGGTTACTGGGTATCCTAGGTATTATACCCCTACGCAGGAGTCTGTCAGGCTGAGAAGCCTAGTCTATACTGTAAACCCCGAGCAATCAAGGCTGAGAAGAAACCGCTCAAAGAAAGATCAAGCCTACACCGCCCAAAAGGTCAAAGGCACTGAAGTATTGAAAACATGGACATATCGTATAGAGCATCTGCCAGAACAGGGGCAAGCACCAGCCCCGAGCCCTGTAACCGGTACCTTCAACAAACATTAGTCCGAGAGAGTATAATCGTATAGCCACAAGAGTACCACGACGAAGGACGAATGACTTGTCCTCGTCATCCCGGCTCTCATCATCCTCCTCCTAGTCGCAGTATCACTCCAGGCTTGGAACGACATAAATAGTCCTATGACCTGCGCAAATTGAAGCCAAGGGAGAGCATGCCCCAGTCTCCTGGAGATCACTAGTGCCTATACCCTCTTTATTCTAATTTAACCCTCAAACTACACAGCGCGAAGCCCGAAACCTAAAGCAGATCCAAAACACTTAGACCCCTAAACCCTAAAGCCCTAACCCCCGAAAAGCCACTGAACCGCTAAACCCTAATCCCGCAACCCTGAAGTTGATAGCTGCTCGGTGTGTAGCATGTCGGTCACCGTGGAAGTTAAACTGCTCAGTGGCAAAACGGCCACTTTGCAGGCAGACCTGGATGAGAAGGTGGGAAGTGTAAAACTTCGGGCGCAAGCAGCACTTGGAGTCGGAAAGGGGCGGCTGGTGGACTCATTTGGAAGCACTCTGGACGCAGAAGCAGAAATCAAGGATACCAGCCTGCAGAATGGCGCCTCACTGACCTTGCACATAAGCAGAACGCAGGTGCAAGCTTCTGCTGCCGCTTTCGCTGCCATTCTCGGCGATGGATCCGTCGTGACCTGGGGTAGTGCTAGCCGGGGTAGTGACAGTAGTGCCGTTCAGAATCTGCTGCAGAATGTGCAGCAGATCCAGGCCTCAAGCGGCTCTTTTGCAGCTAT